TAACTGGTTTGTAGTTTCCTGGGTTGTTCTTATTTCCATTTTTATAAATGGGCACTGTATTTGCCCTTTTCCAGTCTTCTGGAATCTCTCCTGTCTCTCATGATTTTCCAAAGATGATAGCTAGAGGCTCAGATACCTCCTCTATCAGCTCCTTGAGTATTCTAGGATGCATTTCATCAGGCCCTGGTGACTTGCAGGCATTTAACTTTTCTAGGTGATTTTTAACTTGTTCTTTTCTTATTGAATCTTCTAAACCTCCCCCCTTCTCACTAGCATTCACTATGTTAGGCATTCCTTCAGACTTCTCGGTGAAGACCAACACAAAAAAGTCATTAAGCATCTCTGCCATTTCCAGGTTTCCTGTTACTATTTCTCCCTCCTTACTGACCAGTGGGCCTACTCTGTCCTTGGTCTTCCTCTTGCTTCTAATGTATTTATAAAAAGTCTTCTTGTTTCCCTATCTAGGAACATAAGAATGTCCATACTGGGTCATGTCAATTGTCCATCTAGCCCTGTATCCTATCATTCAACAGTGGCTAATGCCAATGCTTCAGAGGGAGTTAACAGTATAATCATCAAGTGATCCATTTTTTGTTGTTGGATCCAAACTTTGAGCACTTGGAGGCTAGAGATGCTCAAAGCACAGGATTGCATCCCTGACCATCTTGGCTAATTATTATTGATGGATCAATCTTCTTTGAACTTATCTAGTTATTTTTTAACCCTGTTACACTTCTGGTCTTCACAACATCCTCTGGCAATGAGTTCTGCAGGTTGACGGCGCATAGCATGAAAAAAATATTTCCTTTTTTTTGTATTAAAGTGTTAGCCTATGAATTTCATTGGTTGACCCCTGGTATTTGTGTTATGAGAAGCAGTAAATAACACTTCTATGGTCACTTTATCCACACCATTCAGGATTTATATACTCTATGATATTCCTTCTTAGTCATCTCTTTTCCAAGCTTTAAAAATCCAAATCTTTTAAATCTCTCCTTATATGGAAGCTATTCTATATCCCGCATTATTTTTTATGCCCTTCTCTTTAGCATTCCAGTTCTAATATTTTTTTGAGATGGGCAACCAGAACTGCATGCAGTATTCAAGGTATGGGTATGGCATATCTTGGTATAATGGTATTAATTATATTTTGTTTTATTATCTATCCCTTTCCTAATGCTTCCTAACATCGTTAGGTGTTCTTTTTTCTTCTTCTTCTGTTGCACAGAATGCATGTTTTCAGAGAACACAGTGACTCTAAGTTCTCTTTTTATTAGGTGTTCTTTTTTTCTTCTTCTTCTGTTGCACAGAGTGCATGTTTTCAGGGAACACAGTGACTCTAAGTTCTCTTTTTGGGCTTGTCAATAGCTAATTTAAATCCTATCATTTTGTATGTATAGTTGAGATTGTTTTCCAAAGTGCATTACTTTGCATTTATCATCAATGAATTTGATTTGCCATTTTGTTGCCAAGTTTAATGAGATTCCTTTGTAACACTTTACAGCTTTGGACTTAACTATCTTGAGTAATTTTGTATTGTCTACAAATTTTACCACTTAACTGTTTATCCTTTTTACAGATTAATACATTACATAGCTCTAGAACAGATCCCTAGGAGACACCACTTTTTTACCTCTCTCCATTCTGAAAACTGATCATTTATTCCTACCCTTTGTTTCCTATCTTTTAACCAGTTACCAATCCATGAGAGGAAAATTAAACCCGGTTCCTGTCAGGTGAGGCCTGAGGTTAGGGTTGCCACCTCTGAGGTACAAAAATCCAGGACATCTGGGATGATCCTGAGCCAATAAAACTGGACAGCTTGCAGAGTGTACTGAGCACCTTACAGTTTTCCCAGGACCACTACCTCAAAAAAGGGACAATCGTTGGAAAACCTGGACAGGTGGCAAACTTACCTAAGGTATGTCATGAGTAGAGATAATCAAAGGTGTGACTTCATACTTGATAAGTAGAAATAGTGTATTATGGCAAAATGTAAAATAAATAAAATAAAATAAAGGATAAGGGGAAGAGGATAAAAAAGGGGTCAGGAAAATCAGAGAAAGAAGGTGAGAAAATTCCATGGAAGATTCTGAAAAACGATTTTTTTTTTGGTTCCTCTGAAATATTTGCAGAAAATTCTCACTCTTTTGATTATTTCAAATAAAGATACTTTTCTAAAGCTAGATTTTTTTAAATATGAACATTTTATATGATAGTTGAAAAAGCTGGAAAACAATTTCATTGAACTTTTGAATGTTTGAACAATTTTTTACTTGTTTTAGTTTTTTTCATTAAAAAGTCAATATTTGACAACAGATGTCTCACAGCTACCACAGTTAATTCTTATTTTGGAAAACTTTAGTAGTTCAGATTCCACTTTATACTAACTGCTGGAAAATGCTGAATGTAATTATGACAATGGCATATTGCATTTTATTTATTTTCTAAACAAATTCTTCACACTTTTTTGAAAGCATGAAACTCTAAACACCTGAAAAGGACTAATGTGGCACTTGTGAACATTTATTTCATATACCTGCTATAGAGTCTCCACAAAAGAGTTTAAAACTTGGCATTTGGCACTATCCCTTTAAAAGGAAATGCACTTTGTCTGCAGTGAACCTAGTTACAGTTGCACTAGTTTCTAGTTATTTGTACTGGGATATTTAAATACCTTGATTTGCTATATAATTACATGTTGCAAATTAAAATGTCTTACTTGCCTATGGATTTTGTTTCTCTGTGTACTATAAATGTAGGAAGAATTTAAGAATAAAACAAAACCTGCAAACTATCTTGTTTAGGTAATAACATGATTAAAAGGGGATTAGTTCCTGCCTGTTTTTAAAACAAGTAAAGGAGAACTGTGTTTCTGGGAAGCAGGTTTTTTTCTAAGAGTGTATTATTCTACTGTGGTGTTTGGCTGTTCTTCTGTGAGGAGATTTTGGCATCGGCTTGAATACTGATCCTTTTTCTTTAATCAGTCGTTTAACACACAAATGAGTACACCAGAGGTTTTTTCGATTAAAATATGTATTGACATTCCATCAATTTACAAATAACCAAACACATAAAGCTTGTGTATAAAATGGAATCTACTAGTAGTTGTGCTAGTCTAAAATAGTATTGGTATGACGTGAAATATGAGTGCGTCAGAGTCGAAAGAAACAATAAAATGTGTAAATAGATAAGTATTGTGTAACTGGATGATTAATTTAGTGAATGTCATTTTTAAATGAAATAAACAAAAACTTGTATTTATCAATGTTAGAGACCAAAGGCTAGCTTATGATTATTCTTGGATAACAGGGAGTATTTACCTGCACTGCCCCAGGAACAGAATAGAAAGAAACTGATTTGAACAGTTGCAGTTCTTTCCCTGGTTTATTCTTCCTGGTCTATACCAACCAGTAACAGGACATTGTTCAGAAGTAGAATGTGAATGACCATTTAAAGGCTTTATTACTCAAAATGGGACACAGTGTTTTCATTGAAATAGTAAGAATGTTAGGTCCTGTCCGCTAGTCAGCAGTGAAGTAGTTAAGTATCACGACCGTCGGGCATTGGAAATGTAAGGGAGCAATTTTGTACAAACAGGAAGCATTCTGAATTTTTTAGGAATGAGGAAAAAACTTAGTTATAGCAAATTTGGACAGGAGCTTGTTTGCATTTTATCTCTACTGATTAAAAGCCCCTGCTCCTCTTTCCCCCGGTAAACAATAAATGTAAACTTGTAGGCTGCAGATACCAATCATAGCATTAACAAGTGGTGTAACATGGTCTTTGTGCTGCTAATAGATAGTTGGATGTTCTTGTGCCACAGTTCATCAGATAAGTTGAGGAGATTGCAAGCTGAAGAGAAATTCAGCAGTAATTTATTATACCTGAAGCGGACTGCTTTGCAGGCACAAGCTTCCTGCTTTAGTGGCTCGCTGCAGTCAGAGAGAAATAATGGCGTTTAGGCAGTGCTAAATAAAGTTGTCTATCTTGAATCTTTTCCTGTTTGAAGTCTAACATTCTGCTCTAATACAAGATACCATAATAGTTTACTATATCACTGTCATACACTCTATTAGTCAAAGTCTTTTATTCATTGCCCTCATCTGCACTTGCTGCTCTGACAAGGATTAGCTTGCCCAGACACTCAGAAATTAAATACAATATCCAGCTTTTATGGCATTTCAAGATGGGTGATGCCAACATCAATTCTATTTTGGAGAGACGGCTATGGAAGTTTAATTAGCATTCTTTGCTTAGGCTGTGTCCAGACTCAGGGGTTTTTTCGGGAAAAGTAGCCTTTTCCCGAAAAAACTTCCCCTGTGTCCAGACTCAAGCCGCGTTCTTTCGAAATTAATTCGAAAGAACGCGGCTTTTCTTTCGATGGCGGTAAACTTCAATTTACAAGGAAGAACGCCTTCTTTCGAAAGTTCCTCTTTCGAAAGAAGGCGTTCTTCAATGTAAATAGGGCTTCTTCAAAAGAGAGCATCCAGACTCACTGGATGCTTTCTTTTGAAAAAGCAAGCCGCTTTTTCGAAATTTCTCCGTGCAGTCTAGACGCTCTCTTTCGAAAGAGGCTCTTTCGAAAGATGCTTTCGAAAGAGCCTCTTTCAAAAGAAGCCTGCAGTCTAGACATAGCCTTAATGTGTACAGCTTGTTCTGTTAACTTAGACTGCATTATTTGTTTTGGTACATATTCATTCTGGTAACAAGTAATTTACAATTGAGCCTTTATAGTCTACCAGTTTAATTCCACCCTCCCCCTGGTTGGGAGCCAATTAATTACCTCCTCAGGTGTAAAGCACAACTGAGCACTTTCGCCAGCCTTGCTGTGGATGGGAGCTAAGCCCTGTCACAATACTCAATAACTTTTATGCATTGATTATGGGATTTTGAAGAATTGTACCACTTACAGCATCTATAACCTGGTGATGACTACCTGATAATGTGCTCAGCATGATGAAGCAATGAAGTTTTTCTAGCCTCCTCCAGAAGTTAGGTTTTTGCTACATTCATACAACCCCATGTAGCATAATTCACCTGAGCAAATTGAAACTCAATTTGAATAACTTTTCCAAAGGCATTAAATGCCATATACTTGTCATCATCTCTTTTTTGATGCTGTGTAATCCATGAGTAGTTGGGAGATATCCCTTACATAGATTTCCCAGAACAGAAATGTATCCTACATTTTTTTCCCCTTGGTAATGTAAGCCTATGAGTGGCTGGAGTGATTGGGTACTGTTCGTAAAGTCTGCCAGAGCATCTTAAAACACTGAAAACATTTTTTACAGTTAGGAGGAAGGGTCTTATCCGCATAATTTCATAAAAATAGCAGATAGAAAAAATCTTTTCTCAAATCATTCCTTTTTACAAATATTTACAAACATTTACATGGTACAGACAAGCTCATACTGTTGTGTGACTACAGGCTTTTGCTTTATCTGAAGGCAAAAGAGTACAGGAAAATGAATAAAATATAACATAACAGCTAGGGCTAAGTAGGTCCCAAATTTTCCTAACCAGTATAAAGTATATAGTTGCATTATCAATTATATTGAGTAGGTTTCTTCCAATTTTGGTCAAAATTAAATTATGGTTTTCTAAATTTATGGCAATTTTTGTGATTTTTATTTGATTTTTTTTCACATGGGATGCCTAGTAATGTTTAAACATTACATGATATGGGAAAACTGCACCACTTCTAGCATCTACATCCGTCTTGATGACCATCTGGCATGTGTCTACATGAGGTAGCAATGAAATTTTCCTCACTGATGAATTACCCCTTAATGCCCAAAATGAGTCTAGACTGGTAGATGTAGGTTGATCACAATTCAGATCCCTCTTATTTCAGGAGTAGTCAGTGGTCTGTATTAAAAGATGTTGTTTCCCTTTTCTAGTAATCAAATGTCTCCATCACAAGAAAAATCACACCTAGAACTCATTGTCAGCCTTTTTTTGAAGCGGGACCAAAGATAACTATTTAGCTGGTGATTTCCCCATTTAAATCAACTGTGTTATGATAATTTATATCATTTGAAGTCCCAGTCCTTGTACACTTAGCTACCCTAACAAGCTCAAATGTGGTCTGCCTTGTCTGTCTACATCAGCACTGAGACACACTGGTAAAGCAGTGTGGGGCAGCTTATGCTGCCGTTCTTATAATTTTTTTGTGGCTATGCATAGGACTTTTGTTTCCAGGGCTGTCACTCTGGTTCCTTTCTCTAGAACTAAATGCACACATTAAATTCAAAATGAAAATCAGGCAAATAAAAAAACCCACCTAGGAATGTAGATTCTCACAGCAATTTTAATTAAGCCTTTTCCTATATGTATAATATTTCATATTGCTATTATTTTAGTTTTTATTGAGAATTAGTGGTGTGTATGGTGAATAAACACAGAAAAAAAATCTAGTTGCAGCCCAAAGGATCCTTCCAATCTAAAGACCCACAGATTAAAGGGTCAACTGAAGTTGTTTGTAACTTCAGACATTTCTGTAAATCAAGTCCCAAGTCTCTTAAGTTGAACATCATGATTTTGTGGACATTTTTTAAACTGTAGGCCCCCTAATCTCTGTAAAATAGGTATAGTAATATTTATCTACTTGGAGTTTGAAATAAGGCTTCCTTTATTAATGTTTAGAAAGATCTTTCTGATGCTCAGAGGCATTCCTATTTATAAGTGTGTGGTAAATCTTCTTATTCTTCCTTGAGAGACATCCCTGTGGGTGTTCCGCAGCAGGTGTTCGTGTGTCCCAGTGTCACAGACTGGATTCTTCACAGCAGTGCCTGGGGTGACCGTGCCTGCACAACAAGCTGGGTACACGAGCACCACATGGCGCAGCCGCGCATGTGCGGCCACCCTCCCCTTATTTCCTTCTTACCAATGCCTGAACAACAAGCTGGGTGCACGAGC